GCACGGTACTTGTAAAGACACTGTAACAGAAAGGAAGCAAGAAAAGACAATGCCATGTTTGTAAACCCCTTAAGCAGAGACCGTAGAAGGGGTATGTAACTAACCTGTACAAGGAAAAGCAGAAGACAGTTTCGCACGTACATGTAAATTGTCATTCCGAGTCTCTATGGTTGTTCACGTAAGAAATTGTTCGAGTGGTTGTAGTAACCTCGTCACAGTTTATAATGTAAGGGAAGTGTACCAAGGCAAACAACAAGGCGTGATGCCGAGATAACCATACTTTAGCAAGTTCTCTAAATAAAGGGGACACAAGGTCTTAGAAGGGGACCGTCCAGTACCATTGTTAGTCGTTGTCTCAGGAACTGTACGACAGAAGGAAATAAAGAATGCATCTGGGTCAAAAGACAAGGGTTACCAATTTCCGTTCAAACAACACAACCTCAGTCCTACTCAGTGTCAATAAGACTACGTGTCGAACACTTCTCTAGAGTGGGAGGAGGTAAGTCTCTTTTCAGGAAGGGAGTTACTGGGAAACCATAGTCGTGCCAAGAATGTATGACATTGAACCGGAATGGTAGAGGGAGTGGACTGGATCTCGGTCTCGGAACACAAATTGAGGAAAAGTAACAGCGACTAGCACCAAGAACCATTTGTATCTGTACTACTAGGAGTAAAACGGACGAGATTTAGGATTTTACGAGAAGTAAATTCTGTGAGTAGACGAAAACAGTTTTGACTGTAAAAGAAGACTGACAAATCCTCTGTAGTCATACGTCGTTGGTGAGGTTACCCAAAACAGAAGAGACTAAGTCAACCGGTAACACAATGGTTTCTAAATCTTAAACGACACGTCGTACTTTAGCGTACCACGTTTATCTTTAGATAAACTCATAACGAACTTAAAGACAACCGAATTGGAGGGACAGTACCTCAATACATAGTTAGCTGAAGTCTATGTAACTTAGTTGCGTACAAAAAGGCAGTAAACACATCTGAGGAAAAACTACTACGTTTACGAAGCACAAGTGTGACGTAGTCCCAAGACTCAAAGCGCTCCAGGAACAGAAGCACATGGCTACACTTCTCCTTGACGTATAACAGACAACATGGACTCTTAGTGAGTAGTTTATCAACCCGACCTTAGTCGCACGTCTTGTAAAGACACTGTAACGGGAAAGGTACGAGAAAAGCAATGCCTGTTTGTAAACACTTAAGAAGGAGTCCGTAGAGGCGGTCTGTAAACTACCTGTACCAGAAAAGTTGAAGCCATTTGCACGTACATTAAACTTGGTCATTCGGTCTCTACGGTTGTCACTTAAAGAATTGTCGAGTGGTTGTAAGTCACTCGTACGGTTTTATGGTACAGGGAAGTTGTACCAAAGCGAAACACAAGAACGTGATGACCGGATAACCATTACTGTAAGGGACAAGTTTCTTAAGGACCAAAGTCTTAGAAGGGGACGTCACTCCCTCGCTAAGTTCCGTTGTCTCAAGGAACTGTAGCAAAGAAGGAACTAAATGCCGATCTGGCGTAAAGAAGCCGGCTACCCATTTCAGTTACAAAACAAGGCACCAACCCTCAGTCTTCCAGTGTCAATAAGACTAACGTGTCGAAACACCTTTTTCCTAGTGGGAGGAGGTAACAGTTCTTTCATGAGAGTACTGGGAAACCAAGTCGCGACCCAAAGATATTGCATTGACCTGAAAGTTAGAGGAGTCGGCTGGATCTCTGTCTAGATGAGGAAGTTACACAGCGACTGCACAACGGACCTGTACTGGTACTACTAGGAGTAAAAGCGAGTTTAGGAGTTTTTACGAAAGAAGTAATTCTGTTGGTAGGAGAAACACAGTTCTTGACTGTAAAGGACTGACCATCCTCTTAGTTAGTCCAAAAATGTTGTTAGGTGTACAAAACCAGAGAGACTAACTAAACTAGGTAACAATGGTCTATTCCTAAATCTTAAGACACCGTCGAATTAGCGTACCAGTCTACTTTTGATAACTCATCAAAGAACTTAAAGACAACCGAATTGGAGGACCCAGTACCTCAAATAATAGTGGTAGCCTGAAGTCTATGTAACTTGTTGAGTACACAAGTAGTAAACACATCTGAGGAGAACACTAATACGTTTACGGAACAAGTTGTGACGTAAGTCCAAGACTAAGCAGAGACTCCAGAACCAGAGACACCAATAGAGACTAACTTCTCCTGATAATAAAGACAAAATGGACTCTTAGTGGTAGTTTACTCAACCGACATATAAAGGTCGCACGGACTTGTAAAGCCTGTACAGGAACAAGGTACGAAGAAAAGCAATGCATGTTTGTAACACTTAAGATGGAGACGTAGGGGTTGTAACTAACTGTACGCGAATACAGACCAACTATTTGATGAGTGATTCTCAGGTAACAACAGAAAATAATGAGTCCTCTATCACATCAGAGATAACCACAGAAGAACAAGACCTCAGAGAGAACTCAGAACCTGAATGCACCACAAACCCCACAGGGAACAGAAGGAAATTTGGATCAAGCAGAAGAAACAAAGGACCACTGCACATCAAGGACACTACAATAATGTCGTTAGTAACAGAGACAATAAAGCAGGAAGAATTAAAAAAGAATTCCGACCTAGACTTAAGTTCAAACGTAAGTGGCGAGGAAAACACAGACATTTTCTTGGAGGAAGGCATCATTTTGTCACAGAATGAGAAGGACAACAGTGCAATTATGAAAACAGACATTAATTTAAGCCCTAGCAATGATGTATTTGTCAACTCCAATAAGGATGTTGATGAGGAAAAAAATCAACAAAAAAAAGAGACTGAAAATGTATGCCAGCTTGGAGGATGTGACACAGTTAAAACAGACTTGACGCAACCACCAGAAGTCTCAGTTTGGAAAGCTGCTTCAGACATACAAACTATCTCATATCCAGGTGATAATGTCTCCTCACGACCAATTGCTTTTGATGTTCTTGAGCAAGAAGAGACTTTTCAATTCCAAAGCTCTGAAGCTTTATCTTGTGACAAAGACATTAATGTGCAACAGACAAATGATACATCACCAACTGTGGGCGATGTCCCAGTAAAATACTTTAAATCAGGACCGGAGAGTTCAATGTATATGCAAGTTTCTAACCAGGATGCAGATGGAGAACAATCTGAGGATCCTTTGAAGTCGGAACACAAAGCCCAAGAAATTAATATTTCAGAAAAGATTACAAAGAACGAAACAGAAAGCTTGGCTCCATTTCACACAGGTCTTAAGGAAAACTTCAGAGCAGAGCCAGCTGTGAATATGTTTGAGGAAAGTGAGATTTCCAGCCATCTAAAGGAACAAGAAGAATCTCATTCAGACAACAGTGAAAATGTGCAGGGAAGATCGAAACAGAAGAGGAGAAAGATGGGCTCTACTCGCCGGTCTCAACTCAATAGGAAACCAGAGGAAAAGAGTGATGAAAGAGAAAGTGACTTTAAAACAGAAGCTGACATGAGACATCTTGAAAAGATAGAAGGACTGGAAGAGTTACCTATGCTTATGACTGCAGAGGTATTACAGAGTGAACATGCAAAAGCATCACAAAGTCCTATGAATAAAGACTCCAATGAAACCAGCACAGTGCACAACAACAGACAAAACATACCAAGCTCTGACTTGCAAGTTGTTAATCCTGCTATATTTGTCCATGTAGCTGATGAAAGGGAGAGTGAGAGGAATTTAAATGTTTGTGTGGAACCACCACAGATAGATGATTTTACAACCACTGTGAGGCAAATCCCCAATCCTTTACTGTCTGAAAATACTGAAGAGAATAGAAACACAGTTATCATAGGAGAGAGCTTTGTGTCTTTATGTGAGATCACACAGAGTATGCAAAATGATGAGGAAAGTGTAAGCATAATTGAGGACCAAACTTTGAAATCAGCCGAAGCCTCTGTTGTGGCAGATTTGGAAATATTGACATCTGTGGTAAGAGAAGGAGCAGCACATGAACATATCAGTGCCCAGTTTAGTAAACAACAGTTGGACAACCCCACTGAAGTAGTTCACGATAAAAATATAGAGATGAAGAATCCAAGTCAAAACAGGAGAAAGATGGGCTCAACCCGCAGGAATTTTGGATCAAGACACAAAAGGGAAGACTTGCATCAAGAACAGGATGTGGATGATGAAGCAACAGAGACTGCATCCAATGTTGGAGATGTAAAGACTGAACTTTTCTCCAACATCACAGAAGATGAGCTTCAGCTTAACTTAATATACAAAGACACGGGCTCTGAGCAAAGGAAAGAAAACGTATTTGAAACAGTGGAGTACAGCCAGATTGGTGACTCTCACATTAAACCTCACCAGCCATTGGAAGGTAATCCTGTTCCTCCTGGTCAACCCATAGAAACAGAGCATCAACATAATCCCAATTCTCTTGCTTCAATACCTTCCACTTCCCCAAAAGAAGATTTAATGTCAGAAACAGCTTCTGGTGGGAGAAGAAGAAAAATGGGATCCAGCAGGAAGTCACATGGAGTCAAAAGATGTGAAAACCAAACCGCAAGTGAAGACAAAATACAAGATACACAACATGAGAGAGATGTCAGAAGTAATACAAATGAAAGTGCCATCAAGACACCTGAAGAGCTGAGAGAAGAATCTTTGAGCCTGGTCCAAATATCAGAGGTAAGCAGCAGAGTCATTTTTATCTTTAGCTTTGAGTGTTTACAAGTTATCATCCGTTCCTTAGTGTACTTTCTAAACATTGCATTACCATGTATTTTTTTACGTTGGGCCTTTATCTTGAAGTGAATTAATGGACATTTGTTATTTGGCACAGTTATTGTATGCCGTGCTGTTACTCCTGTTTGCATAAATCCTCTAGCACACTGGTCAAGTGTTTGTTTCAAGCACAACATGAAACAGTGAAATAAAATAAGGAACATGCGGTCTACACGCCATGTTTCACATTCTGAAAAGGAGAACATAAAGCTGTATCATGTGCCTTGATCTTAATGGTGGGGTGTACTCTGTAACGCATTTAGCTGCTTTTTATTGACTTCTAACAACATAGAGGCCTCATAAAAAAGATCTTACTTGTACGTCACATTTCTGAAAAATGCATATATTTAAAAGCCCTGTTATTGTTCCTTTCTATAAAATGTAATTCTCCTATTTGTATCATTACATTGTTGGACAAATAATATAAACTCCTCACATTCTTAAAATATCCTGTAAAACTTCATGCTTCACTTTCTGTGTGCTAGAGGATTATTTCTGGAAAACCTGTCAAAAACGTTTGGATGAGCGGATATTATAATTACAAATGAAGATTCTCTTTTGTCTTTGTGAAACAAAACAGAAAACAATGTACTTATTATTAAAATGCCATATATTGAATATGAGATCTACATTCAAAATAAAATCTGCCCTGCTGTCACCTTGTGATTGGGATGCTTTTGTCTGTTCAGGCAGGTAAAAGTGAGAAGAAACCATCGAACATCAGCATCTCAAAGGAAGAAATTGCCCCAAGCACTGTGAGGTAAGTGGCGCTGAGGAACAGAGATATAAAAGACCTTCCAAAGGCTTGTTGATCTGATGAGCTAAAAACAGCAGTTATGATCTTCCTGAAAAATTACCAGATATGAAGCTTCATTCACATCAACATGGTTCAAATTGTAACTGTGTTAAGTACACATGAATAATTTAATTTACAAGCACATTAGATCTCAATAAGTATATATGCACAGCATTGAAAAATCACCTATAACCTAAAATATATCATTGTAAGAGTTTTCCAAACGTTACCGAACAAGACCAGTTTAATTCTGTTACACTAACATTTTCCTTTCCCAGTAAAAACATTGTGAGACCTTAGAGTTGAATTGTAAGCAGTTAGCATTCAGAACAAAGACAAAAAATCAGTATCCTGTTATCAATTCAAAATGAAACCTAAAAGGGAACTGTTGAAGTCGTGTTTCCTCTGAATCATCTAAACTGATCCTCATGTATAGAAAATCTGCAGTAGGCCACAAACTCCATACGAGCAGGTTTGAGTCATCAGTACAGTGGCAACATTGTTGATTTGCATTTAGCTTCATAACAGGCTGATAAGAAGTCTGGAGGGAGTAATAAGAATAAAAGGAAAAGCAAGCACATAAGTTAAAGATTTACTTTTTGAAAGCCAGCTAATGGAGGACAGACACAAGGATAGGGCTCAGGAGTATAATGTAGGGTGGAATGTTATTATTGTGTGTTCAGTTGTAGGCATGTAAATTGAGAAGTCGGTTTTCTAGGCTTGTCAATTATTCAAGTATGCTTCTCCTGGAGGGATGAATTTTTAACATGTCTGCTACTGCTTCTAACATGTCTGCTATTTGCGTTTCTTTTGTGATTTGCCTAATGTTTTGCTCAAATTCCTTCAATCCAAAGATAGTTTCCTATGAAAATGAAAGAAACCTTGACCGCATCCTTGTAGTGTATCCACTTCTAATATTAGTCAATGTTATGATTCACTTGGGGATGCTGATGTCTGAACATTTAAAATGTGAATAACTTTTAGTATGCTGATCTTTTTCTGCCTGTTGTTTAAAGTGGTTATTGTTGTCTGTTCAACAGTGAGAAGACGGTTCAACATCTTTATGCTGAAGTCGGGCTGAGCCAACAGAAGTTTTCTCTGGGTGAACAGAGCATTAATACTTACACACAGCTGCTAAAGATAATGAGAGAGGGAAGTTTAATATGGAGATAAATAAATATAATGTGTGACCAATAATGTTTTTGTTTTCAGAGGGTAATTCCAGAATAGCAGATCATAAAGCAAATGCTTACAATGTGATGATGGTTGGAGACAGCAGCGTGGGAAAAACCTCCTTCATGAAAAGAGCTCAGAGTGGAAAGTTTTCTTTAGATTTACCCGCCTCAGTTGGTAAGATCTGATCTTCACACTACTTTAATAACATGAATGTATGTAAATATACATAATAATGCAACATATACACATTTTTGTAGGACTTGATTCCTGCATGTGGACTGTGGTGGTGGAAGGAAAGCCCGTGGTGCTACAGCTGTGGGATACAGCAGGACAAGAAAGGTATGTTTTTCTTAACAGCACATTTCTGAGGCACTTGTACCAAGTAATCATAAATATGCACTCACTTTTAAATCGCAAATAATTAATTGTTTCATAATAAATAATACATCTACAATAAGAAAATCATTGAGGTGTGGAATTGTTACCACTAACTACAGCCAGCATTAATAATACCTATACAGGTGCTTTGAATCCCGTCAGTCTTTCCCTGTTAAGGTAGATGTGGCTGCATTCAGAAGCTGCTCTAAAAAAAGAAAACAATTTATTCGCTGGCATTTCCAAGCTTTCATAAATAGCAGTTTGAAGAAGAGATCAAAAAGAAGCAAGGTACTCAGTGTGTTTGTCACAAACCGTGACGTGGCTGAGAACACTCACTTGCAATATGCATGAGAATACATTTGAAGTATAACGTTTGTTGTTGGACTAACAAATAATGACGATGACCCGGGTCTAGCTGAGAGATGTCTGTGAGGAGTTATAATTTCCTTGACCATATGATGAGGTACACTGTCAATTACATAATTACATTAATATATAACGCTTAAAAGTTTAAATATATTGTAAATATTTCGATTTTACTGGACATTTTTATTCAAATGTAAAAGTGTAGGACCACATGTTTCTCAAGCAATTGAAATGAATGGGTTATCGATTAAAACATGCTTTTATTGATTTCTACTATTCTCCTGAGACTATTCTTATTAGACTCAGGAGAATAGTAAAAAGGAATACATAATTTATTTTCTTAATGAAAGTAATCTTCTTTTATCAGTAGGCTTTTTTTGTCATGCCTAGGTATACGGAAAATTGTAGAGCCTTCACACGATACGCACAATTTGTGATGATGTTACTTCTCCTCCTCACGAGGAGAGGGGACACTGCAGCAAGTATAAACCATACTTTACGAGCTCCTCCAGATGTCTGCTGCGGGTACGCACTGTATCTGCTCTTTGCTAGGAAAGCTAAACATCATTATCAGAGAGGGAGGCATCACTGTCAAAGGTGCAGAGTATAATTTTGTGGTTTATGATGGCCCGAATGTTGGAAAGTGTTGCCAGATACCTTGGCTGTAGGCCAAGACTTTTGATGAGCACTTGCTATTGTAGAGCAAGCACGGAAACTGTAAATCTAAGTTACCACAGGCAAAACCTGACAAGTCTCCCTCAGGCCAGGTTGTAACTTGTTTATGAACTGGTTCCACACATTTCCGCAGTGTTTAGTTGGGAGGAATTAGCGAAACAGGAATGGTGACTGTGATAAGGTTGTCTGGGAAAGAGATTGACACTTGCATTGTGTGTTTCATTGAGGTAGTAGTTGTGCAACCACTGTCTTTCAAAGAAAAATGTGCAGAATGTTTTGAGGAAAGTTTCTGAAAACTCATTTGACAAGTGTCATTAAACTGTCAGAGGCCCACTCCCAAACACCTTGGAGCTGTTCAGTCACAGATTGGTGTTTCTCGTTCTGAGTGGCCTAATTTAAAAAGGTGTCTGTGTCTGATTACATGCTTTCTGATTTTAAAGGTTTCACAGCATCACGAGGCAGATTTTCCACAAAGCCCACGCATTTCTGTTGATGTATGACATCACTTCCTCTGAGACTTTTTCTGCAGTTAGCTACTGGGCAAACTGTATTCAGGTATGTTGTAATACTCGCTTTGTTCATAATGTTTCTTTTTTACAGATGTGGAAGCGTTACATTTGTATTCAAGGCCAGGCATACTGTTAAGTTGCAATACTGCTCTCCTTTTTTCACACTGATACTTTTCTTCACACTGATAAAAGTGTGAAGTATTTTTTAAAGCCACTCACTTGAAGGCAGAATGTGTTGCCTTAACAAATATCTAAAGAAAGAAAAAATTTCACAACTAGAAATCTGACCAGGTATTTGTAGCTACTACTAGAGCCGCATGACAGAATTTAAATTTGATACCCAGTCTATAATTAAATCATTATCCGCTTATATATTATATAAATTCTAAATCTTAAATTTTGTCTTAAACTAGAAAATTACAAACATGGTGGATTCTGTATTTAAAACAGCAGCACATACTTACAGGAACAACAAACAATACCCACGTTGATGACATCCATGTTAGAAAAATGCCAAATATGCATGAACAATTCTTTGTCTTCAAATATTGATATTTGAAAATGGTTTTCATATCAGTATGTAGTTATTTATGTGAGAGCAAACTAGTTAAAACTTGGTTTAGTAAAGATTATTTATTGGATGTATAGCAATAAAAGTCAGATTGGTAGTTTGTAGAGAGACTTTTAAGAGTTTAATTGAAATCCAAACCATAATAGATCCAATCTTTGTTTTGCAGGAAGGGGCTGACGAAGACGTGAATATTTTACTTGTGGGCAATAAGAGTGATCGTGCAGAGCGGCAGGTTCAAATTCAGGAGGCGGAGAATCTTGCTAAGGTTTGGATCTGTGGCATTACATCTTCATACACTTTTAGCTCTGATAAAAACAAAATACTGTGGTTGCTTTAATCATTAAACATTCACATTAAAACAGCAGGTGTGCTTTCACAGGAATGTAACTTTGAATTCATGGAGTGCAGCGCTGCCACAGGGGAAAATGTGGTTCAGGGTTTGGAAACTGTGGCCAGGTAACACATTTCACTTTCCCGTTTACCACACCTGTATTAAAAACATGTCCTTTAATGTTGATTGCCCTCCATGAAACTGATTGTGTTGTTGCTGACAGGATGTTGAGTCAAAAGCATGGCACGAGAGAGGAAGCCATGGTGTTGCACAAAGAGCCCCCGCAGAAAAAATCATCAGGATGTTGCTGAACAAGATGTGCGTTTGCAGAGAGGAGGGACCTGCACACAGTGGAAACTCTGGACTGGCTCTTTAGAGGGTGTTTCTGTTTGTCACAACTAAACCATATTTAATGATTTTTTCAGTTGTATTCCAAACTGTATTGATTTGTATGTTGTGTTTCCTTTTCACTACTATCTTCAGCTGTTTTATTATGTCTACCAAGCCTTAAAGTACATTATTGTTTAAGAGGTCAATTGAAGAGTAAACATAAAATCCTGTTGTTACATAAAATATACATAAAATATAGCATTTTCAGATAAGCTTATTAATGTTGAATGTTTACTTTATGTATATACGACACTGCATAGCTCTTGTGGTATTTCTTTAGAGGCAGCCCAATGAACAGTTGTAATTTATCCAGGAAATATTTATCACATGAACAATTTATTTTAAAAACGTTTGCTTTTTTATATGATAACTGGTTTAGGTTGATTTCTTTCCATGACTTGCTTTCTTATTTCAAATCATTTCTAACTTAACTACCTGTGTGAGTTGTGATGCTACTGTTAATTATGCAATTGTATTTTTTCCTCCATTTTGGGAATACAAGTTGAAAATCATTTGAAATTAAATTTTTGATTGATATCTTTTGTAGGTATTTTGTAACTATAATTGTTCTATTATGTGATTTATGCACATTTTGTGACCCTGCAATCAATTGGAAAATGTTTTTGATCTGTGACTTTTTTGTATAAATAATACCATAAAAATGATTTGTAAATCAGATGTATTGGCATCTCTATTGTGTATCAGAATTATGCACACATCATTAATAATCCCATGTGTGGAAGCCGAAGTGCAGAAGGAATAGAAGTGTAGTAATTACTGAAACATTCTTAAAAAGTGATTGGTGTTTGATTATGAAAACTTGAAAACATTATTTACACCAAAAACAATGTTACAAAAATAAAACAAGACATAAAGTCAATAGAAATTGAAAATTAGCAACCTGTTTCAAGCATCGGTTCATTTTCATTAGTAGCAGCAGCCTTTTCTCCATCGCACCCTTTGGCGCCATCTGTTGGTGTTTTCTGGTGTTTCACCTTGAACACGTCCCACCTCTCAGGAAGGATATCCTTGTTGAACAGGAATGAAGCCACATAGGAAATCATCACAATGGAGATCAAGGCGGACAGCATGCAAATAGTCTTAAAAGGCCAGTGCTGAATGTAAACCCCGTCCTTCCATGTGCAACCTGGGAAATGCAGGATGACAGGAAGATTGAACACGGGTTCTCCACACAGAACTCTCATCACAAAAGAAACGACATAGCCTGTAATGGCCCCGTAGCCGTTGGAAACCCTGATGAAGAGGATGCAGATGAGTTGAGGGAGCATTATGGTGTAAGTCAGGTCTGAGCTCAGGATCCAGAACGCCAAGATGCTGCTGTCCAGGTGGGTGAGGGAAGTTCCCACAATCCCTACCACCGCTATGGAGACGCGAATCACCCACTGCAGCTCTCTGTGCGATGCCTGGAGAAGAAGAAAAGCACATCTTAATTTTGTTAAAAATGTCAAATGACCACACTTTTCTCTCCACCTTTTTTTTAGCACCTTATGTCTGATGATCTTGTAGATGTTGGTGGTGAAGATGGAGGTTGCTGCCAACAGGCACGAATCGGTGGATGACATTGCAGCACCGGCGATGGCTCCCATACCAACAACAAAAATGGTTGTTGGGGTAAGATGCAGAAGGATGATGGGCAATACCATGGCCGCCTCTCCTCGCTCATACGGAGAAGGAGAACCATATGTGGTGGAGTTCCAGTCTGCAACATAAGATAGAGATGTTGTGAAGCTATTGAGAAGGTGTATCTTGGTATGATTTACTATTTAACTAAAGTGACTAAATGCTAAAGTATACTTACATTGTATGGCAACATTTTAGGATACACATGTAAATCATAAAGTATTTGCTTAATAGCATGCATATTAGTATTGTTAGGAAAAATATCACTCGTCACCGGCTTGCGCTTCAATATCAGGATACATGTATATTATCCTTGCAACAATGGAAGTAAGGATCACACACAGAGCTGCATGGGACAAAATAGTTCCCAGACCCTTCACATGTTTATATATAAGAGAGGGTGTTACAGTCACAATACAGAATACCGGTTCANACATAGCTATCGTATGTTCAACACAGTGTCTCATGAGCTTCTTCTATGTAATCATACATCCGGTTACGTACACAGCTACGTAGGGCCTTTGTTATCATGTGCTACTCTGACATTGGAAGAGTACATTCAGTATTTGCCAAACAAGTGGCATTTTAGCTCTTTATTAGTCCTCATAAAACCCTTATTAATGCATCATTCTGCATAACAACATTCTACAACTGCTATTAACATATTAAGCAAGAGTTTAATAACATCCCAATAAGTGCATATTGATAGGAAGTAGCTGTTTAAAAGGGGCCCAAATATGCTTTTTTGGGTTCAGTGTGTTACAAAGGTCTTGGTGCATTGTTGTGGATATTTTAAACTCGTCAATACTGTAAAGACGTACAATGAGAGTAATCAATAATAAACTGATGAAAGCAGGCAGCGTTGTCTTCTGGTTATTTATTTGAAGCTTCAAAGGTACATGTCTCACAGAGTATAGAGTAGTCTGCAGGAGTGCGCAATAGTCACAGAATAGCAAAGCTTATATACAAGATAGGGCGGGCAGACAGTTTTATGTGTAGCTGTCGAAAGTATAACGGTTATCAGCATATGGAAGTTCAAACTTAGCGTGAAGAGGAGTATCACCATATGGAAGTTCAAACTTAGTGTGAAGAGGAGTAGTTTCAACATAGTCTGCCAAATCAGCCCTGTGGCCTTGAAGCGCTTGAGATTAATTACCCTCTTTAGAGTATGCAGAGAAAACAGCACATACGAAGAAATGGTACAGTAGTGTTAGACAATGCTTTTAGTAGCATTTGGTTTTAGCATATAAGGTAACATAAGACATTTCCACTACAGCATTTAAATGGTCTACAAAGGCTCAAATCCAAAAGTTCCCTCCCAACATTCTTTATCTTTATGCAGTTATATTTGTGTGAAGATGTATTGGTATTGTGAGTATGCTTGCCAATTTTTACTTGTATGTATTGTTATTTCTACCAATGACCAATTCATTTTCAGGGTTCTTTTTCCTGACTCTTTCCCAGATATTGGTCAATTGCTGCTGAATAATGGTCCCATTCAACACTGCGCTGCTGCTGTCCAGTGTGTGAGATTTACCTGTTGAGGCTGCGACAGCACCGATCAGCACAGGTGGAATTCCAATAACGAGGACGACACCTGCCGCTATAAAACAGATCATCCTGGCTGTAGACGTGGAGCTGGAGGAAAGAATCCTTTGGTGGAAGTCTTGAAATGCCAGATTTCCAACACTCTGGAAGAAACAATGAGTTATCTTCATTTCTTTGTGCAAATCAACAATGCAGAGTCAGAGATACTATCTTTATTTTATTACATGCATTATTCTCTTATGTTAACACACAGCGCCTACATCCTTCATACATACTTCTAATGCACTTATTTCATGTTTATATCTTGATCAAATCAATTGCTTTATTATTTGGGCTTGAACTAAGTAAAAAAAGGTGCGTTCTTAAAGAGTGCTGCTAGACATTATTTAAAGCATAAAAAAATACTTTGCTTTGAAAAATAGTATCTATCAGATGGTTTTTCAAATTCTCTTTATTTTATGTAGCTAATTTATAATTCCAGAATGTATGACTGAGTACATATATAATATACCTTACCATTGCTAGGAAATTATCAATCCATCTCCACACGTCATCAGGTTCAATGTGGCCAATCCAGGAGGCCTGAGAGGTGTTGTTGAAAGCTGTTTTAGTGATGTCAGTATAAACCTCACTAGCCAGAACAAAGGGGGTACACAGCCACTGTGAAAAGAGGAAATGATACAGTAAAACATTGAAGAGAAAAACATTCATTGTATTGGAAACAACTGCTGTGTTAGTGTTGAACTCACCAAGCTACAAAATACCAATGACAGCTGGACGACATCGGTGAAAACAACGGAATAGAGACCTCCAAGAAGAGTGTAGGTGATGGCTACTGCAGCGGAGATCCAGATGCAAAGACTTAAAGGTAGATCGGAGAAAACGCTAACAGTGACCCCTGTTGGAGGCACACAAAACACACTCCTTTAAACATTAAAGGTCCCCTATTATACTCTTTTTCATCAATATATTATAGGCCTCAGATATATACAAAACATGTATCTGAAGTGTTTGGCTTGAAATATCAAGGCATCATGCATTGCAGCATCCCATAATCCCCTCTGTTTCAGCCCTGTTTCAAAAGTGCTGATTCTGTATCTGTAGCTTTAAATGAAAATAAGGAGCCACTTCCCACGCCCCTCTGAGAGATGTTTGGTTTGAAAACAACTGAATGGTGCTGTAGGAGGAGATTCAGGTGATAAGGTGGGCGGGTGTTACTGTACCTTGGTTGGTTATTGGCCAATGGATGCACAACTCATTCTTTTCACCAAACATTGTGACATCACAAAGTAGCCAAAATCTTATCAGCTCATTTTCAGACAGGTTTTTATAAAAATGTATCAGGACAAAAAGAGAGAGAATAGTTTTTGTCCTGAAACTTTCAAAATCTCTTAACACAGTGGGGACACATGTTTATGTTTAAATGCATGAACAATTAGATGTTTTATGATAGGTGACCTTCGAATTTGACAACACTTGATTAGAACCTTTGGATAGAAATGTGTTCATGTTACCCAAGGAGATCAATGTGACTGGAACCCACATCAATTCACTGATGAAAGGAATAATGGCAAGAACTGCGGTCAGAGTTTTCCCATACTTCCTCTGAAATGGATCCATCATGGTGATGTAGTTATTTTCCCGCATTGGCTTTGCAAAGAACAGTCCACCTTTAAAAAGACACAGCAAGCATAGTGGTGCAAACAGTTATCATTTAGTTCAAGAATTTTGCTTTTAGTATTTTGTGCCTAATGCTTCTTTGTCTTCATTTTTTTGTGGAAGAAGTTCCTTTACTTAAGTAAAAGTAGAAATACTTTGGTCTGAAATACTTAATTACAAGTGAAAGTCCTGAATTCAAAATGTTAGTAGAAGTATGGAAGTATTGCCACTTAAATGTACTTAAAGTATCAAATAAAAAAGTACCCATCATGAACCATGGCTATTTTGAAAGTATGATATTATTATGGAATATTAAATGATTCCTTCCTTTATTGTTTACAAAAACATGTAAGAACATTTACATTTAGGAGTTTGTTAATATTAAGATCATTTTAGGTGTTTCTGTATTGCATAATACAGTATCTTGAGTATGGCCAAGGTTAAGATATTTTAGAAAAGCCATCAGACCCATAGTCTTTTTTATAAGCTCTTGAATTGGGGATTTTAATGATATTTTTAAGATCTTACCAATAATAAAGGAAACTGACATTTGCAGAGGAATAAGAGCCCAGATGAGTCCCTTAGTGGGGTCATAAACCGTCTCTGCAACTCCAATGATAAAGGCACCTCCAACCCAAGTAGCTGCAGTAGGGAATAAACATCACAGACATGCAGAACTTCCATACATTTGGGTAATCTATTCATGAAGATCTAGTTTGAATAGTAAATGATGTGTCTGCTCTTTCAAAACTCACCCGTCATTGTGAAGACTCCCATTGCCAAGCCTACCTTCCGGTTAGCCAGAAAAGAAACTTCCAGCTGTCCACTGTGTGTGTTTTTCTCCATCTTCTTTGATTTAATGGATGCCCAGATACCGATTCCCAACACCAGAAGGTAGAAGAGGAACATCATTATCAGACCTGGTATATGGACGGCCATGGTGGAGGGTTTTCTGGTGACGACAAACTCAGGGAAAGCGCACAAGGGTTATCAAGACATGCCGAGCTGAAGACAAGGAATGAGGGGATGCATGCAGTAAATTAAACAGAGAACTGTAATGGGATATGATACATTTAAAAAGTCACAGGCAGCTATAGTCAAGGTCATCGTTGACGTCTTGTACTAAACCTCCCTTTAACAGTCAAGACCAGATAGAAAAAGGTAATTTAAGATTAAAATGTGTGGGACCAGAACAACTCAAACCCAACTGCCAACGCCAAAAACAGATGATAATTGTTTTGATTTTTGGAGATAGGTTTTCCTCTTATTATGCAGATGAATTAAAAATGTTATGCTCGTACATGCACCCTTTCTGGCATACAAAAGTGTCCTTGAAATTCTTCTGCGATGACTCAATGTAGTCATCTTGTCTTCATTGAAATTAGGGTGGTAGACTTTCTGACGTCTGTGAAACTCAGTTGCGATTTCCAAAATCGTCCTTCTATGTGTCAAACACACGGAAAAAATGAGATGGGGTAAGTTATAAATCTGTACAACAGAGGCTTTAGACACAAAGCTAAAAAACAATGCCATGAAAAAAATGCTCATTTAATTTCTTGTTTTTTTTACATTATTTCGAATTTAAAAACAGCAATGTGTTTCAAACTCTTTTACAAAAAAGATAAGTTAAGTAAACGAAGAATTTATAAATTCCTACATGTCTATTCCTTCCGCACTTCGGCTCCACACATGGGATTATTAATGATGTGTGCATAACTCTGATACACAATAGAGATTCCAATATATCGGATTTACAAATCATTTCTATTGTATTATTTTGTTATGTGAAATGAAGTAGAAAAAGTCACAGATCAAATTTGTTTTCAATGGGTGCAGGGTCACAAAACTTGCATCATTCATAATAGAATGATTTTCAAGGGGAATTAGGAGGGGTACTTAATTACTGACCTTTTTTTATCAATTAAGATTTGTTTGAAAATGTTTTCGACTGAATTTTATTGGAAATTGCGCTTATTAACACATTCATATTATATGATATAACTGTACATATTTAAAAAGTAAGATATAAAAGAAGCACAAATTTCACATGTGGGCCATATTCCATTATACCTTTCGAATTTCCTGCGGGCCAATAAAAAAATGGACCACGGGCCGCAGTTGGCTCCCAGGCCGTAGTTTGGACACCCCTGCTGTAGCCTAATCAAGCCATTTTATTTTCACTGACAAAACTGAAACGTTGACCATGTATTATGTCAACACATTTCACCTGTTGAAATCTGTTGACACAATACATTGAATTAAAGTCAAGGTTTCCGTTTTTTTAAGTGTATTTGTCTTCACTAAGTCATGGATACCAATAGAGCATCACCTTTAATTATGTATATTATATATACATTTAAATACTCAAGTAAAGTACAACTACCTCAAAAGTGTACTTAAGTACATTACTTGAGTAAATGTACTTATTTTTACCCCACTTGCTTGCCAATGGTAAAGATGGTAGAGATAGTATGCTGTGCTACACATGTTGTGAAGGAAACCAGAGAGAAACCCGTCCTAACAGCCTCTCAGTGGTTTGAAGTTGAGGTTTTCACCTGCGTCTGTTTGTACTTTCAAATTCTTGCTTAGTTTCACTGTTCTTTGTTTGTTTCCCACAGCAAACTATGGGAGACGTGTTTAGTTCATGGTTAGGATACTGCTCATAAAAACCCAGTACTTCCTGATTTACAGCCAATTTACCACTTGACAAATAGGTTATTGATATTAACAAATAAGCACCCACTAAAATTAGGATTACTTTTATACATTTTGTCAAGTATTACAGTGTTAAGCAACTTGCCTGAGTTTCTTCATCGTAGCTGTAATAATATAACAGTGTTATGTAATGATTACATTAAGGTTATGGATGATTGATTTTATGTGTACATACAACCTGTTTATAATTAAAAACAGATGTTGTAAAATCATTATTTGATTATTTTGTATAGTGTTTTTGTTTCTCCCTAAAATGTGCATGGCTTAATATCTTAAATCAATATGTGCTTATGTCATGCCTCATGATAATAAAATCCCCAGAATGAGGACCGCATGTTCACGTAGTTCATTTGTGTCCTCAGGTTACATTTTGTGTTTCCAGGCTGACAATGACAACACAGTTCCTGCAGGAACAACAAGTCCTTCTTTGGTTTGAAGAACATGCCAACAATGGCGCCACTGCAATAACCTCATAAAAACCTAAAAGAGCGTTTTTGTAGGAAACAAATGCTGAGCCAGCACAAATCCGATATTAGTAATTGGTTTTGACCTCACAGGTTACATGACCCTCCAGGAGAATAAATCTTGTTGCTGCCATTTAATCAGATAATTCACTTTTAGACTGGAACATTTAAACCTTGTAACTTGCAGTAATCAGAAGACATGACAGCCCTAATTTCCTTCTTTTCACCAGGAAGTTATTCAGAACATATTCCAAATAATTTCCGATACATTTAATTTAAAGAACAATATAGTTTGGGACTTATTACATGCAGACATGTAGGCGTTCAATTCGAAATATTCCATGAATTGCTTCTGCAAGTAACATACCTTTGATTGCACAGCAGGTCAGCTTAACAAGCTAAATATGTAACTGTATAAGAACAGAAATGAAGAATACTATAATTTAATTTCAACTTTCTTCAAGAAAACTTATACCTATTTTGATTTTATTTAATACAAATAAGAAAATCCAGTAAACTACCAAAATGTTATGGGGAGGTTATGGACAAAAACAAATGCCACATGTAGATTTTGTATTTTAAACCGGCCTAGTGAACTGTTAAAGTTGCCATTGGGGTCATCCTTTCTTTCTCCTTTACTACAGATGAAATATTGTTGACATTGGGAAAGCCGGCTGGTAGTTGCCTGTTGATTTTACTTTGTTTTTCGGAGACACTCAACCACAGCAGGAGGTTGTTCAAAATGAGATCAGGGTATGACCAGGTTGTGTCAACATTTGCCTTAAGCTGATTTAAAATAATATTTTCTAAAGGAACAACATTGTGTTCTGATCATGAGTGTCTTTTTAACTTCACTTGTTATAAAAATGCATATTTTCATGGCACCAACGACTTTGTAAAAATACAAAGTTGTAGATCTCGTCTACAGACATAAGCTCAAGTTATCAAATAATATCATAACCGAACAACATCTTTTAAAAATGTAAGTCAAATAATTATTTTTATTATTTATTTCATGACAAAAATAAAGCAAATTATTTGGGAATAACTTACACTTAACAATGGTGAAAACATTGGACTGTTCATATTTGAGATCCAGCAAGTGTGTCTGTAGATGGATGGACTTTTGAATGTTAAACAAAAGCATAGTGTAATGAGTTATTATGTCCAATTTACTACTTCTTTTAGGAACCAGGATCTGGGGTCTTTCATATATCTTTCCTACTGAAGGCCAGGCTCAAAGAGTCACAGTGGAGCAGTTCTTTGACTTGTATAACCTGCTGCTCACAGCAACAGGTTATTTGCAGTCTTCTACTGTTGCTCCCTCACTGGTTTCACTTGGTTGACTGTCGTAGTCTCTTCTGATGGTTGCAACGGCGAGTCCTTGGTCTGTGTTTTAGATTTTTTTTTAGAGGAGCGTTTTTTCCCGATGGCCTGTATAACATCAGAAGCCGCCCAGTGGTCCCGGGTCAGCGCATCCTGCAGGGTGAAGGGGCCGTCTCTGGTCCGCCTAACTCCCCTACACACTGCTGTGCTGCGCAGCTCCAGTCCTATCTCATGCACAACTTTGCGCAAATATTTCTGAGTTTCATTAATACACTGCACCTCTGTAAGAACAGGGAAAACTATTAGTTAGTATTTTAATTATTTGCATATTTACAATTGTGAAATTAGATTTGTCGTTTGTCAAATGAAATGGCATTTACCTAAAGTGAAGTTGGGGGGCTCGAAGTGAATGCAGCGTAAGCCTGTCAGAATAGGCAGCGATTTCCCATCTGGACCAAGTAAACCTCGCACAGCCATCTCATAGGCTTCCTGCGAACGCATGTCTACGTTTGAATACAATAACAAGGCCTTTTGATTGGCTCCCTGCAGCATCGCCAAGACTCTTTCCAGCTTATCCTTTGTGATGTGACCTGTTGAAAGCAACAATATTTTAGAGTCAGATATAGTCAAACGCACAATAATTGATGCAATCACCCTTAGTTTTGTTTGGCCAGTGATTAAAACATGACATCTCCTACATTCAAAAGGTGGAAATGACACAAAGGAAAGGTCACATATTATATAATGCTCAAAATATATCAACTGGTGATGATAAAATCCTTCACAGTAACATACTACAGGGCGATTGGCTGATGGAAAATTGTATTCAACACCTTCACACTTGTAATGATCTTAAACTATATCTCGGTATGTAATGTACATTTACTATTGAAACTGAAACCGTACAGGAAAAATTAAGTTATCCTACCGTATGTTGATCTTTCCACAATCCTGCCTGTGTGAGAGAAATCATCTGTTGCAGTCCCAAATTCCCCCTCCAACGTGTAATCCTGAAACACATCAGACAACATTAAACCTGTGTATATAGTATCTGTATTGCATCTGATGTAAAACCAGCAGGAATGATAAATTACCCTTGTGACTCGTGTATTGTAGAGATTATTCAGGACCTTGTTTCCATTACCAACCGCAAGAACTGAAGTTAAAAAAAGGAAGGAATACTTTGAGAGATGTCATATATTAAATATAATATGATCTGAAAAAAAAAGATTAAATCATACCCAGAACGCCAGAAGAGGATGCATCCAGGCGATGTCCTACTCCAACTTTTATATTCTGAAATTCAGGTCCAGTCACTAACACACACAGAAGAAACACATTTTATTTACTCAAGTCACTAATGAGCCATCAGGCCAGTCTCTATGGTTTGTTTTTAAATGAACAGGGGAGAATGGGTAAAATGTGATGAACAGGGGGAATGGGTAAAATGTAATGAACAGGGGGAATGGGTAAAATGTAATGAACAGGGGAAATGGGTAAAATGTGATGAACAGGGGGAATGGGTAAAATGTAATGAACAGGGGAAATGGGTAAAATGTGATGAACAGGGGGAATGGGTAAAATGTGATGACAAAAATGACATCTCCCTGTTGAGTTACAGACTTTATTCGGACCAGCATTAAGGTAGGAAAGCAGATTATAAATCAGAAACCCAGCTCCCTAGCAGAAGATACTTTTCACCAAGTCATGATTTATACTAAAATCAAATTAAGATTATTGAGTAAGTAAACTACAAAGGCTGAGTTTGTAAATATAAACAGTGTTTTTTGGGAACACTGTAGTGACAATTATAAGTTATTTGAGAGCAAACAGCATTAACCTATAATTAACCTATAATACTTGTGTGTTGATTTGAATCAACCCAGTTGACAAGGGAGGTCAAGTGGACACACGTACCCAGAGGATGCTTGGACAGTACTGGCATAGAGGCTGCAGACAGGGTGAGTCCTTTGGGTGCTTCAGCCTCACTGACTGGGAGTGCCAAGAAGCGCACCTCCGTAGGAAGTGGCTGGGACGGTGTAGCATTCAATGCTAGAGAGAGAGTTGAGAGACAATACAAAAAGACAACAGCTTAAAAAAGTGAAATTGAATAGCAATTAAAATCATTGGTCAATGAAGTACAAGATGTTTCTCAAGAGTTCAGAAGTTTGTAAAGCTTGTTTTGTTTGTACATGATTTAAAGACAACAACAAAAAAACATGTTTTTATGAGAAGCTGAAAAATATCTAGCCTTGTGGACTATATAAAACATCAAGTTGTGGACTATATAAAACATCAAGTTATCTAATTCATTGTTGTTAGACTCTAAATTCAAAAATAACAACAAACTTTCTGTAATAGGGACCAAGAAGTTACAGTTCTGCCAGATTCAAAATCATTTTGAGTTCAAAAGGAACGAGTACACTGACACACAATAAATGAGAAAAGGACTTTCCCATGAGAGTAAAGCTGAGAAAATTGTCCTATCATCTCTGTTGGTCCACAAGGTTAAAGACAAGGCTGAGTCACTTGTTGTTAATTGGTCATCTGTAATAAACTGTATCATTCCTAACAGCAGACATGTAAGATTGTTAGAGGGTTTGATGGACTACATTTTTCAGGATGCGTTATCCTCACCTTTTAGAAGACTTGTCTCGATGCTACCACGTACTAGTTTCCAGTGGACACCAGCGGGTTTGTAAACACAAAACAAACCCTCTATTTTCCGAAACATCCGAATAGCTGGAGTTGCCATTATGTTAATAACATCAGGTCATCCCGGTCTCTAAAGATATAGAACCAGGGTAACCTTGAGGCTTTTTCACGGATAAAAGTAGTTAGTTTTCGGATGATTTTTCTCCATTTGACTTTACTACATCCATTGCATGGTAACCTTAGCGCATGCGTAAATGTCTTTCAAATGTATTTATGTGTAGTTAGCTCTCTCTGAACACACTGCCCCCTGCGGTACTGGAGGTATAACTGGCAGAACTGTACGACAAGCTGACGACAAACCGTGTGAAATGAAAACACCAGGATAAATAATGAACGGCTTTATATTGAGTAGGAAATAGGAAAGGCAGAATATAGTTGACTATTTTTTGGGAAGGTTGATTGAAAGTTATACACAGGAATTGACTTCGAAGGAGCCATAACTCCAGCCAATGGCAGAAGCTATCTGCTGTATTATACAGCAGATACAGCTTTTCAACGATATCTCTGATGACTCATCAGAGATACATACCGTTGAAAAGCTCATTCTCTCCTGCACAATCCATAGCACAATCTCATCGGATCCATATGTATTTGTATCAGCAAACAATCGTGAAAGTACAAAGGGGTCTTAAACCAAGAAAAGAAATCTCATTGGCTGGTGTACATTTCTGACAACGTGATTCGTTCAGATGTATCACTAAAACACTTCCTCGTTAGCTTTCCGCTGGAAATTTAAATCTCAAAATGGCAAAAGAACAGCGAAAAAAGCGTTCTACACAAAACAAATGACCCCGAACTTGAAATACCTTCACTGAGTGCGGCAAGGCGCAAGTGCTGTCATCCAAAGAACAGGAGGGTTTAGGTAGCGCCACACAGCAATCTTTAAAGGTCGTTTTCTCAAAATGAGTTTTTTTCCTATGGTTTTTTCTCCTACTCTGAGTCAGAAATGTCCACTTCAGTAGCACTTCCATACACCAAACCTTCCAGTAGATATAACATTTTATACCTGAAAACATGGCGAAAATTGATATTTTAGGGCTGTTGACAGTATTTTCTGATGTATGGAGTGATAGAAAGAGATATCCAAAATCCCTTCTGTAAAAGCCTTAGATGCTAATATGACTACAAAATTAAACGAGAATTTTGAACCTGGCTTTATCCAATGTTCAGATTTGTGTTCCTGAAATGTGTTAAAATATGCGCATATTAGCCTACTACATGAGAGTATGGCTAATTTGCATATTTAAACATGCTATTTCAGAAAACTTGTAATACAAAAAACAATTGTCTTAATTTAAGTAATTAACTGGAGAAAAAACTTGTGCTGAATTGTTTATTAACATGCAAGTACACTTTGTATCTTCTTTTTTCTGAAGGAAAAACAGCTGAGGTCAGAGAGACCCTGCAGTCCATGCAGAAGGACAGACTCTAAGTTGGACACTGGGTTGGAAAGTACCAGCAGAACCGCGAGAAGAAGCAGGAGAAACGCCGGCTGAAAGCAGAGGCTCAACACGTCAAATACATCGCGTTCAAGAGGCATGGCCCCCAGCAATCTCTGCTCGATAAACTGTTGGACTGGTACGTCTGCTAAAACAACTGCCTAAAATCCACTTTCTAACAGATTTGTTTTATTGTTATTGTTATTTACCTTGTTTCTTTGTTCTCTTTATTGTTTTTTCTTTAGTAAAAATGCATTGAACAATAAAAGTGTCTACAAAAACTGGCGTACAGAGGAAAAAGTAGAGACTGAGCATGTCACTGATAACTCCAACTATCTCCTCCTTTCTGCGAAACCAAACCGAAAGTCTGATGGTATGTATCATTAGGATTGGGAAGGTTAACTAAAAATGTAATCCGTTACAATAACGAGTTACACATCTTTAATCTGAGTATCAAAATACAAAATTAATTGAACCTGATTACTTTCCGTTACTTTTGGATTACGTCAATATGAAGTGCAATGCAAATAAAAACAAGAGAAAATAAACAACAATAAGATGATCTTTACTTAAGTGTATGTAACAATGTAACCTTAGAAAAGAGAAACCAAGATATTTCATATAAAAAATGTAGTAACAGTTAGGGTTAACAAATGCTGTTAATGCTTAATACATAAATAAAAAGCATAGAATGTATTTTTGTTTTTAAAAAATCAGGTGTCTACCTATCGCATTCAAAAATGAATGTTTTTAAAATAAAGGAGAATTAAAGTAGCCTAAATATGAACAATGAAGACAATTATTTCAGTACGTCGACCTATAATATATCGATCTTTATTTCTAAATGTATTGTACATTTGTGATCCTGTTTGTTATTTCAATTTTCTAACAATAATCTGTCACATGTAATCCGATACTTCATAGCTTGTGTCATATTCCTCTACTGTGGCCTTGTGTCACATTTTTTAGTAACATGCAAGTAAACTTTGTATCTTCTTTTATCTGAAGGAAAAACAGCTGAGGTCAGAGAGACCCTGCAGTCCATGCAGAAGGACAGACTCTCAGTTGAACACTGGGTTGGAAAGTACCAGCAGAACCACGAGAAGAAGCGGGAGAAACGCTGGCTGAAAGCAGAGGCTCAACACGAAGAATACATCGCCTCCAAGAGCCATGGCCCCCAGCAATCCCTGCTGAATGAACTGTTGGACTGGTCCGTCTGCTAAAAACAGCAGCTTTAAATCCAGATCTTACAGATTTCATTTTATTGTTATTTACCTTGTTTCTTCTTAAGTATAAAAGTTTTCATTTGAAAAGATCAAGTTGTTCTGTCCACTGAGGTAAATATGGTACTTATACTATAATACATGTATGTAGTACCTTTAAATAATTTGCATAGCTTAATGATAAACAATAAGATCAACACTTTAGATACACCGTTCTTTTTTTCTCCTGGGGAAAGATACCGAAGTTGGGCCGTCATTGTTCCATCAACTGGTCAAACATGTACCACACATGATAATGTGATGGTACACATTAATTAACTTTCTTATTTTTAGACACACACACATTTTCTTATATATTAGCTTACTAGCATTACGCTTATATGACATTTCTAAGACACACAACACAAGGTATCCATCCATCCATCTTTTAACGCGTATCCGGAGTCGGGTCACAGAGAGAGCATTTCCAGCAAATGGCCCCAAATGTATATTTCCATCGCCTCATCAACCAGCTCTGACTGGGGGGTTCCAAGGCATTCCCAGGCCAGCGTGGAGATATGAGATATAATCCCTCCAACTGGTCCTGGGTCTGCCCCTTGGTCTCCTACCAGCTGGACGTGCCTGGATCACCACCCCAGGGAGGCGGCCTACAAGGGGCCCGAACCACCTCAACTGACATATAACAAAGGAGCTGCAGTTTTAAATTCTCATGTAATTTAAACCATTAAAAATAAGTATAGGTGAAGTCTGGCGGTATGAATTGACCTCTCACCATCAGTTGGTATGACTGGTACAAAGCAAACTGAGCTGAAGTTAGAGTACACATGTCAAACAGGATGTTTCCTTAAGTTTAAGGTCAGAAAGAATAACATAAGTGTTGTTAAATATGGCTATTATCATACAGTAACCGTGGACCCCACAACAACAGGAGACCTGACAGAAATGTGTGTGAGAGTACTTATTTTTAGGTAAATGTAAAATGTAGTTGTATTATTAATCCAGTAGAGGCCGGTAATGCAACGACTGGATGCCAACCGCCTCTAAAACCAAAGAAGAAGAAGCTCCTGCAAAAAATAAAAACACCGCAGAAGAAGACGGGCTGCTTACCGTAGCTCAGTGTTGACAACAGTGGCGAAGGGTTGCCTACGGTACGTTTAAACTGTCACAACTTGTGTACTGTGTGTTTGCTGGAGTATCTTTCTTACATAGCTTCGTGTATTAACTTAAGCCTGAAAATAAATGAGTATGATACTATATCAACGAGTGTAGTGTTAGCTTACAGCCTGCAAGTAAATAATTATTGCGCAGCTAGGTAGCGTTACGGTAGTTTCAACGTTACATAGCATAGGTCATGACAGTTTTAGATTGGCTATTTATTAGCGACATCCCCTTTTAATTGGTCCTTTAATTCTTACTGTTTGTTTATATTGTTTTATTTATTTATTTTATAGGTTTTGATTTATATTTATTTATTTTATAGTTTGATTAGCGACATCCCTTTATTATTCTTATTGTTCTTATTATTTATTTGTATAATTATATATTTATATTATTATATATATATTTTACAAGCTGTAACGTACATTTTTCTGAAGGTCTAAAATTGATGATTGATAGAGGGAATAGCTTGCCTTAAGAACTGTATTTCGTTAAAACAATGCTTAAATATTTGCATTTATATTTAGTATTACCTTCTGTTAACATAAAACCATTTTTCATTATTTATGCATTTTGAAATTTCGCACACCTTTTGGACGGATCTGAGATCTGAGTCTTACTCTTTGGATGTTAAAATGCCTTTTTTTACCACTCGTTTAATCTTTAATGTGTTACTATCATGGTCAAGATGATGGCACTCTTGAATATCTAATTCATTTAACTGTTCTATATGCCAAAATATTTTATTCACAAGCACTAATTTGTATCATTATAGGTTTTTCTGAATTTTCTTCTCAATAGTTCGGAAAAACTCTTCTTCCCTCAAACCTGATACTTGTTTTTAACAAATGTACTCCTGTTTTACTATTTAAATATAATGTGAAAATATTATGTATTTCAATATTCTAATCTTATAACTTTAATAAGTGTATGAGGTATATGTGAGCAGGTATTGATTAACAACGTTTTTTGTATATTATATTTTGATAGTGACGAAAGCTTTAGTAGTTACTGTGATCACAAAGCTTCATTGTCAGCAGGGATTGAAAATGATCTTTCAGAGATAATCTTTAACATTTCAGTCAATGAATTTACCCCCAAACTACTCTTAATGACATTTATACTACAAAATGCCAGTAACAATACAGCAAAACATTTCCATGTCAACCAAAGCACATTTCTGTCTGGACATTTGAACATGTGACAGTAGGAAAAACACGGGTGGGAATACTTAAATAGTGGTGGCTGATTTCTGTTTATCAGCAGTTTCAGGGTGCTTGCTGATTTCAATTTATCAGCAGTTTCAGGGTACTTGCTGATTTCTGTTTATAAGCAGTTTCAGGGTGCTTGTAAATGCTGGTTTACTGTCATAATAAACACAAATGTGCTTTACTGGTTTTCTTACATGTCAAAAATGTCTGCTGTGAAAAAGGTCTACCCAGACTATTTTGAGTTAGTCTACCTGAAAATATATATCCTTTTAAGGCGTGGCAATGTACATCTTTATCATTTTCATTGGCACTTTTCCAAGTCTGATGCCCTTATAATTACTAACACACCTATTAACCTAGGCAATGGTCCAATCAGAGTAATTGAAAACACCTTTGTGGGTGCTTTAATGTTAATGATAGTAACACTCATGCTTATCCCACTATGACAAATCAAAATGTCAGCTATAAAAATACCTGCTCTAGACCTCTTTTGCCTAATATTGGCATATTTGACCTTAGATATAGAAGGGTTTGATTATTGCCACTTAAATTTAAAACATTTCAAAAGGGCAATTACAGTATTGTAATACGGGTCATAACTACTTTTGTTGGAAATCATATTTTTCAAGAAATGATTGCAATAAATTATATTTTTATGATTTTAAGAACATTGTTCAGCAAATGTTATAATATAACAGCTTAATAATGCAAGTTCACCCTACACAGTCCAAAATTGCAATAAGAATGTGAAAATGATACTCAATACATTAAATAAAACAACAAAACCAAGACATCAAAAAAAATGTACCCTCGACTCAGTTAAATGATGCATTGTCTGCACAATGCCCAAGTGTTATTATGGTACGGCAAACCTTGCTGCTTATTTTGGCAACATGTTGGGTCAAATTATGTCTATATGCCTATGTAAACAAACACTTATGTAACCACAATGGTCAATATTGAGGTCAGACAGAAAGTTTGAAGTCATGTCCATATATTCTACAATAAATCAATAATGTGATTGACATGACAGGCCTTTTTCTAGTGCGTATAGAGATTACTGAATGATTTCTCGTGTGTAGCTTGGACATGAATCTGTCCTGTGTCTGTGGTGTTTCCTCTGTAGGTGTGATGCGAGCTCCCCTGCGCTGGGTGCTATGGGATGTGAAAGACACCCTGCTGAAGGTGCGTGCGTCTGTCGGAGAGCAGTACTGCAAGGAGGCTAAACGAGTGGGCCTGAACCTCAATCCTGTGGAGGTCGAAGCTGCATTCCTTAAGGCATATCGACATCATTCTAGCAGAAGCCCAAATTATGGCATCAGTCAGGGCCTGGATGGACGGTCCTGGTGGATCAGGGTGGTGCGGGACACTTTCTCCCAGTGCAGGGTGCAGGACCCGGCCCTGCTCAATGTAATGGCTCACAACCTTTATTATAGCTTCTGTGATGCAGAGAATTGGGAGGTGAAGGACTGATCACACACCTTGCATACACTCAGAATTAATAATAATTGAAAATGTTAAATGTACACAAACTCCTTCTCCAATGCATCAGAAATATGGCTGCAGCTAAAGAATATACAATCGTTATTTATCTTCCATTTTATTTCTCAATTGTTTCATCTGTAAAATGTGAGTAAATAGTGGAAATGGCCATCCCAGTATTGCAAGGTGCAAATTGATGTCTTTAATTTCTTGTCTTTTTCAGTCCAAAAAGATATTTACTCTAATATTATATAAAACGAAGAAATACAAGAAATGTCCATATTTTAGATATCTGAAAACTTATTTTTCTACCATTTTAATTACAATTTAGATTGATATGTTATTGCATCAAAATAGTTAAATGTTTTTTTAGTTGTCTGACAGATGCAGCTGTAACCGGAAATACAGCTTCTTATTAGTTTGAAAACATAGATTAGGCAAAACTAAATGTGTAAAGGTTTTTGTATGCAATCACAGTCATCATCAAAATCCTTTTAGGATCAGTTTCTAGCTTGTTGCTTTGTAAAGCTACTACTGTTTGCTTTTTATATTAATGTTAACAGCAGTGACTTAAGTACCACATAACATTTTAACTTACAGGTGTATTTTGTCGCTCTGCTTTAGGTATTTCCAGACTCAAAGAAGACCCTGGAGAGTTGCTCTTCTCTAGGACTGGAGCTTGGCGTGGTATCAAACTTTGACAACCGCCTAAAAGAGATTTTACGTGTTTGTGGCCTGCTGTCTCACTTCAGCTTTTTAATAACTTCAGAGAAAGCAGGAATAGCAAAGCCAAGTCCAGCCATCTTTGAACAGGCGCTGCAGAAATGTGGAGTACCAGCTGCTAGCGTAGCTCATATTGGGGACCACTACCTGAACGATTATCTGGCCTCTCGCTCTGTGGGCCTCCACGGGTTCCTGTTAGACAGAGACAACAAGCATAAACACCCTGACCTTCCTGCAGAGCATCGGCTCAGCTCCCTGGAGGAGCTGCCGCCACAGCTCCAGCAACACATGAACTAATACCAAAAGATCAAAGGGTCAAGTGCAAAGCTACTGAGACTAAATAGGGTTCAGTTAGGGAACTAATTGAGATGTAGCCATGGTGACCTGAGTGGAATCAACCACTTTACAAACTTCCCTCTTTGCGTTTCCCTGGAACAGTGTTGAATTGCTGAGTTTTTTTGTGGAAAATAAACTCTTGGTTTCACAATGACAGTCTTATCAAGTCACATTAGGGAGAGATGACTTGACAATATATTTTTGTTATAGAAAATACAAGAAAGGATTTAGAATTTTGCCTCTCATTGCTAACATTGGAATCACATTAGGAAGGGACCTCCTCAGGGCCGGTATGGACAGTTTAATATTAGAAAAAACGTTTTTATCCTGTAAGGAGATTGAGGTCCCTTAGAATAAAACCGAAAGATGTACTGTACAAGTAAGAGTAAAGAACAAAAGATAAATATGAATAATTAATAAAACAAATAAGGAGCAAGTGTATAGAGATAAGATAAATACTGAGCTCTTGGCCCTATATCAGCCCCAGTTTACTGAAAAGGGTGAACCTTCAGGCTTTAAATAACTAATGTACAGCTAATATGACTGAAAACATCTCTCACTCAACATCTATTGCCAGTGATTACATATGTTCAGTATCAACAATGAAATGGTGGAACAATCTATTTTGTGGCAGACTTTATTTGATTATTATTGTGTCGTGAATTATTATTTTTATAATTTATTGTATCATAATTATTTCAATAGCTTCGATGTCCTGTGACCCATTCACACCAAATTGATGCAAAGTATTCATACCATGGACTAGTAGGATACATCTATTTGTATTTAATTTAGCAATTTTTTTATATTTAGAATGTTGAGATTTGTAGATAAAGAAACTACTGAATTTTCATTGAAATATTAAAATAAAAAACACTGGAATCCGACAAAAAACAATGTGTCCTCCTTTTCTAGTGTAGTATTACAATGCTGCATTGATTCACTGGGTCACATGAAATGAGCTTTTGAAAAGAAATCGAGACTTTTCAATAAAAAAACAGCTGCCTTTCCTTGAATAAAATGGGACTAAATGGTCCAAAAAGCTTAGGGTAAACCTGTCCATTTAAACCAGATAATGGAGACAGAACGTATGTCAAACTCTCTAAAACATATGTAAACTTCAATCATCAACTAGCAAACATGAATATAAATATCAAGACATCACATTAAGCTGTCCGGTGTACAATCATTTGTTCATGTGTTTAAGTTAACTGACCCTTTAACTGAAGCTCTGAGCTTTCATCATTTCTAATGATTTGTTTTCAGTGCTTAGCAGCAAAAAGGTCCGGTTGCTTAACCCTAATGCCACTGTAAATACTCTTATTTCAAACCATCTGGTCAGAGGCAGATATGTTGGGCTGAGGATCAAAAGGGCAGTAAGAGGGAAAAGACCCACATGGCATTGCATTCAAAGCAGAGCTTCAGCCTCTTATGGGAAATTAGGATTGACATGTTTCCAAATCAGATTTAAAGAGTTAAAGGGAATGTCCCAAGTTGACACCACTTGTATTACACAATTTAAATCTACTAAATGTTATTTTACATTGTCTTTTCCCTTTTTTTCCCATTACATTTAATGTGTTTCCACTTGTGCTTCTCCCTATGTTAAAGTGTATTGTTTATCTGTAGGAAAGCACCCACAAGAGCTCCTTAATTCAAAGCTGGTTTAGTGGCTCAGCCAGACGGCTCTGAAGGGCTCCACTGAAATCCAATTGCAGACATAATGGGATTGTAAAACAAAACGATGCTCTTCATATGGCGAGCGAAAGGAAAGAGCCGAGGAGATGCAGCACGTTAAGAGGAAAGATGGCAACCCAATGACACACAATGGAAGTAAAAAAAAACAGGATGCATGTGACGCATTCTTGCACATCGGATAAAGGCTTTAACATGAATGGGTGTAGATTCTGTAAACTCAAAAAGACAAATAAATAAACTGAATGGAAATACAGAAGAGGGCTGAAACGTTTCCCTCAGCTATAAATGCACTCAAGGGTTCAGCCCTTTGTTGAATTTGGCCCGGGGTTCAGGCTAACATGTTGCCATTTCTATGTCTTGAAATATTCATTGGAAGAGAAAAATAGAGGAGCAGAGGGACAGAAAATCGGGGTATTTACAGAGAAAGAGAAGAAAAAAATGAAAGAGCTTCAGAAATGAAAAGAAGGTCACGCGATGAATCAGACTAGAGAGATGGAGCAGCAGGTAATGATCACATAAATAAGAAATATGCAAACATACACATTTGCATTTTTTATTCTTAATTGGAAAACGACAGCAGATAAAGGCTTTCCAACTGTGAAAACATAAATCTCACAAAATTAATTGATATTGGATTAGAAGATCAACTTTTTCCATGACTTTATACCGACACCATACATTTACACATCTACTCATAATAACAAACTTTAACATATTCTGAATGGAAATGTCACCGCGTACTGTAAACAAAGTGTCCTCCCCTCGATTTGGCATATAAATACCACATCACATTCATTTTGTGGTTATTTTTATAACACAAAACGCATACAAACTTTACATTGGAGTCAGTTAGCAACAATATTATGTATTATTCCAGTTTTTTTAAGAAAATCTTAAATATCTTGTTTTAAATTAACCCTCAGAGGCGCTTTCTCTTTAAAAGTATTTAAATCCAAAGCAGATGCAATACTATAAAACACCACTTTTCAAAAATAAAAAGTGTTCAGTGTTTTTAAAAATACAAGCAGTGATTTAAGAGCATGCATGCAGGTTTATGTGTACAAACTGAGGGCCTGTCCCTTTAGTGCTCATTCAGGCAAAGTGTATTTGGCATCCCTCTATATGTTGACACTTTTTCAAGCGACTACATTGTACAGTAAGTGCAATTTTTTTATGAACATTAAGCAAGCATGCGGAAAAGTGCAACAATACAATAGGAATGTGGTGCAGTTATAACTTGCAAATTAAAACACCTCTGATGCATGAACACCTTCAAGTACAGCTCAGGATTAAAAAATAAAACTAATATTTCAGCTTCAGTAGACAAACCGGAGTCATCAAATCATTTTGTATGTCCTGTGTGTATTATTACTGATTGAAGTCCAGGGCTTTAAATCCATTAGCAGTCTTTCCTTATTACCATTCCTGTCATGTGAAGTGAGTTCCTTCTTTAAAAATGGACACTAAAAAAACTTTTTTTGAAGCATCAATTTTCCAACACCACCATTTTTTTTTTAAATGTCCTATGTGCTTGTAGAGTTCTGATGAAAAGTGCTCAAAGTTATTAAAAGACAGAAATGGGAATCAGAGTCGTCTGATTGAAATGGATTTTTGTTGTCCCACAGCCCAGACATATCACTTTTCCAAATGGACTTCCACACAGGATGCTTATTGGCCTCGGAGATCATTCCCGGGTCCTCTTGGCCACAAACCGACACCAGGACACATGGGACCCTCCCCATGTGGGCAGCCACTTCATCCTCAGAGCTTCAAACAGACTGTTGCAGTTCTGTGTGTACGTCTACAGGTTCGAAGAGAGAAGTAAACACGTCCTACCGTGCTGTAGGTCAAAGGGCCCAGTCAGTGGGAAAAATGGCCCTGAACATTTATCCTCCCACATCCAGCTGGTCTCGCTCAGCCACATGGACGATAACGCTGCTTTGCCTCTGGACGAGTCTTTGGATGTAATCCTGAGGATTGGTGGGCCGGACGGATGCAGAGAGCTCTCCATCCAGCAAGACGTCTTCTCAAACCACTGATAGAGAAATAGTAAACAGTTTAGACTTCTCTTTCCTTGTGAGGATCACTATCTCTTCCGATAAAACTGACAGTATTTTAACTACTTTCATCAAATCTCATTTGTGTATCCAAGTCTTTTTTAAACCTTTCTTAGCCACACAATTTAAAAAAAATTAATCACAGAAGGAAATTTAATTTCATAACGGTTGCTTTTAGAATAAATAAAATAAAAATGATAAAACACAAAAGTAAAAATTATTTGAAATTTGTATTAAGAAAAATACATTGTTCATTTTGCTTTTCTCATGGAATTTGCAGACAACCATATACAATGTGACTGAAAGCCAGTCACTTGTACCTTATTGTTTATAAGATAGGATAATATAAGATAAGATAAACATGACATAAGTAATGTACCGCTCTCAGAAGGATGGCAAGATGCTCCATGCTTCTCTGTCACGTGGTGATGTGCACGGATCTGCCTGCGATAGTCCTGCCTCCACCAGCAGCTGCACAGGAGAAAACTCAAGTTACCAAAATCCTGAAACTCCTCAAAGTTCATAATTTCTTCCCTGATAAGAAACATCTTTTGGCTTACATGATAGTTATCCAACACACTGTACATCGTATCCTTTATAATCCAGTGAACAGATACTGTAATATGTAAGATATGCCAAATTGTACTTACTGTAAAAGTGTACACATCACCATGATCAGGACACACCCAATCACACACAACACCAGCACTGTGGCAACGGTCTGCTGTCTGTGATTGGTTGCTACGACAGCCAGCAGGTCTGCATGCTCACACCTCATCCCAACAAAGCCTTCGTGACACCTGCAACAAGGACGGACAACCAAATTGGATGCAAAGAGTTAGATTTAAAAACCGCAGTTTAGGCGTTTCATTGACATTTGAGGACTATTGTCTGAGTGGGGGAGTCCCAACTCTTGTAAAAATCCCATGTTGTTCTATTCTTTTGCAATTATCATACACCCATGTTGATTGCATGTACCTGTGAATGAAAATAACTGTCATTACTGTAACTTTACACTACAGTTTAGTAGATTTGTGTCGGATCAGTCTTGTGAGCAGATAGAGTCAGCTGAACAATGTTTGCATTGTATATTTAACGTTCCATAGACACCCATTTTGTAATACTGGAAGGTTATTCTGGAATAGTTAGTGACATAACAGACAGTTCTTTGAAAGTAAAAACATTCAGGATTATCACTTTAAGATAGTAACAACTTACACACATGCAGGTGTTTCTTCTAATATCAGGAAGCGACATGTTCCGTGGAAGCAGAAATGGTGATGTGAGTCTGGACAGTTATCGAAATGAGACTGGACAGCGGCAGCCACAAACTCTGTGGGACAAGAGTTGACATTTTCAGAGAGACATACAAAGGTTTGTTAAAGGTCACCTATTATGCAAAGTCCACTTGTTCATGTCTTTCATACATAAACATGTGTCCCCTCTGTCTAAAGAGATTCTGAAAGTTCCAGGAAAAAATATTAACTCACTTTTTGTCCTGATCCATTTATATAAAAACCTGTCTGAAAATAAGCTGATCAGATTTTGGCCACTTTATGATGTCATAACGATTTTTTGGCTTGTGTAACCATTAGCCAATCACCAACCAAGGTAACCCCCCCCCCCCCCACCTTATCACCTCAATCTCCTCCTAGAGCACCATTGTGTTCTTTTTAACCAAATCTCTCTCAGAGGGGTGTGGGGAGGGGCTCCTTATTTTCATCTAAAGTAACAGACAGAGAATCAGCACTTTTGAAACAGGGCTGAAACAGAGGGGATTATGGGATGCTACAATGCATGATCTGTTTGGTATTTGGAGCCAAACACTTCAGAGACATGTTCTATACCTGTAACCTGTAATATATTGATGAAAAAGAGTATAATAGGAAACCTTTAAAAGAACAGGAGTCACTGCCTTTCCTCCATGAAACCACTTGCTCACATTCAGCAAGGTTACAGTAAAGTCGTTAGCTACAAGAAGCACTTTGAGAACCATGAATCAAGTCATTTATCGCATGAACTCTTTCCTTAATTACAATATCAAATATATGCCAAGTATATAACATGACACAGGTGAATATCATAAGTCTCAAAATAACCTAAGCCTGCAGCATGTACAGCATGTACTAAATCCTAAAGCTGACACCCACGCCACCAGCGGCAGACTGAAGCCTTTTGTTACGAGTTGCGTGTGGATTCGCTGTGGCTTACATCTCACATTGTACCTGGGAGGGACAATTACAGTCAAGAAAAGTCCTGGTGAGTGAGACGCTGCAAACAAAAAACTCCATCCATCAACCAACATTGAGACTCCGCAGAGAGCACATTGCTGCAGGCACTTTCCTCTATGCAGAAATTAAAGCCTTTAAAATAGATGTATTTTCTCTAGGGTTTTGCAACTATCTAGGCTTTCAATTCGACAGATAAAAATATCACATTAAATGCACACCCAAACAAAATCAGGAGATTAATTCCACGTTAACTGTACAGTCAGACAAATTCCTACGTAACCGAGTCCAACACAAGTCAGTGTTTCCCCCAGCAACAGAAACAGATGCACAATGTTGCATTCAGGGGTGGGAAGGAGGATGAGCATGCAGACAGATAGCTGCATTACAGCCTTCGTCACACACTCCATTCCAACGGTAAATGGGCTTTTGGACTGCAGCCTACATGTATTGTCTCCTTCATTTAGACTCTGTGAAAGCCCTCTGTTGTCCCTAAGGCATCTGCCAAACCAACCCTCTCCCTTCACATGTGATTTTGGCAGTCGAACGAGAGGAAATTTGTGATGTAAACTAGCCTTTAGGGTGTGTATTTAAAATCATAATGCAATACAGTACAGGCAGCTTTTGTGAAAAATGCTAAATGTAAAGCTCATACTGTATATTCTGCCCATTATCTTTAATTCACCACAATTGCTGCCCTAACTCACGCTAAGAGGATCAATTATCAGCAAGCACCACTCAGTCTGCATGTGTTGATACACTGCAGCTCAATGGGAAGCTTTACAGTGTTGACAACCCCTGCTGTGATGCAAAGCTGATGTGAGAGTGGCCGCAATGAGGATGTGATGTATCTGAAGTACAGTGATTTATTTTTCCTGGAGACAGCTTGACGATAAGTCAAACCTTCCCCTGCATCTTGACTTACTTTTAACTGGATGGACGGTAGTTGTTGTAGCACGTGTGATAGTTGTAGTTGTGTTTCTGCTGTTGGTTGTTGCAGAGCTGCTTGTTGTGTCGTTTGGAGCAGCAGTGGAATTTGTATGGATGGTAATGCTGGCTTCTATGTTTATCGAATCAATCAGTCCTGCTTCGAATGTAAAGAGGGAATCTGCAGAGAGGAAAATAGGCTGTTAACATGTCATTTGGTCACGATGTGAGAAAATATACAAATTAAAACAAATAACTGCAGGAATATGACACCCGATTAAGAATACTGCAGTGATAGCTGAACAAGGTCTTGAGAGCATTTAGAAATATGAAATACATGAGCTTAACATGAGCTTGAACCTTCACCTATTACATTTGGAATTATTTCATTTGTAAGACACAAGTACAGAGAAACATTGACAGTTGTACCTGCTAAAGGTACGACATCTGTCCCTTAATGGGCATTGAAAGTTCAAGATATTAAAATGACATGTTATGGTTTAAAAACATACAAGAGTAACCATCCATGATGATAGAATATCATATAGGAACAATTCAAACAGACTGCAAAACATTTTTCAAATGAATTACTACCATAATGGATTGCTTTCTGGCAAGACGTGACTGTGCTGGGACTTACTTTCAACTTGAGGCGTGTTAGTTGTTGTAGCAGGGGCGATAGAAGTGAGAGTTGTTGTTGCAGAGCTGATTGTTGAGGTGTTCGGAGCAGCAGTGGAGTTTGTATCGATAGAAATGCTGGCTTCAATTATTGTGGAATTACTCGGTCCTGCTCCAAATGTAAAGAAGGAACCTGCAGAGAGGAAAATAACAATCTGTTATGTATAGAACTAACAGCAAAAAAGCAAAAGAAATGCCAAAAAGAAGCTCACTGTAAACTCACCATTGAGTATCACAGAAGTAAAAGTAAAAGTACCTATAGGAATATAAAACATATATATTACTTTCTTTACTTCAAACATAAGGAAAACCATGTGTCACATATCCTGATATATGGGTTAGTCCCAGTGGTCCGCCCTGTTTGTGTCTTCATTGTAACATCGATGCTTCATTGAGTAACTTGTACCCAATAATAGTAACAGGGTCAGGCATCCACTAAAAGGATGAGACAAAAGCTCTATAAATATATACGGGAGTCCTCTGAAGACACGCCAACAGTACTACAGGCTGAAACCAGCTGATGATCACAGAAATTGTGGTTTGTTGTAAAAAGAAGATAATATAAGAAATGTAATAAAGTTAAAAAAAAATGTCAAGCCATAAAAATATATAAGAAAGAAATCCATCAAAATGTCGGTTTATCTATCAAAAGGTTGGTTTATATATATATATATATTTGGTATTATACTCACTAGGCATACTATGAAGAATTCCGTTTTTTTCTGGTTTTATTTTAACCAACAAACAAAAAAATAATCAGGGACACCATAAAGGATAAACAAAACACCATCAAGCACATCAAAACAAATAACAAAATGCATATGGAGTATATAAAAAACTTTTGATAGTAATATTGTGATGGTTGTCATTGCAAGTCAGTCAAGTGAATTCATATCAAATAATACAATTCAACAGGGGGCAATAATGGCGAACTGTTATCATTAACCAAAGCATTTATACAGATGTTTCAGAATGAGACCCACAACAATTATATATTTTTTGCAAAAATCAAGAAACTCACCGCTTATGAGAAAAATTGTATCCCAGAAAATCCGAGTCATCGTGCCGGTTTGTGGTCTAAACTAAAGTAAACTGACGTGCAGGATGGCTTAAATGCGAGCGTGTGCTAAGAAACCACATTACTCATTAGTGTTGCAGCAGCGCGGAACATAATGTAATCTCGTTATCACTGCGCGGATGTGTCGACAAATGTCAATTACACACATCTGAACCACGGTCGTAGAAAAGTAACTCAGTCTTTTCTTGTTGATTCAGCCAAAAGCAAGAGAGTCTCCGGCAGGATGTCCGAGCGTTTAACTTCTCTGTGTTCAATTGAGGAAACTAGTGTAATCCTGTCAGAGGCTGACCAATTAGAGGCAGCGAGGGAGGGGTGTCCTCTCAATTTGACCTCAATATTACACTTGTATTTATTAAGTGCATTTAAGTCTATATCTGATGATTTAAATCATTACATTTAAGGGATATTTTATATAATCAAACTATTTATCTTTTTTTGCTATAAATATATATTTCAAATACAAAAAGCTTGCAGATATAGAAGTCTCATTAATCAACTGGCTATATATATTACAATTATAACTAATTATTTGTATTGTATTTATTTTCTTCATTTAAAGCTGTGAAGCATAAGAAAAGCATAGCCTGTCTGTTCATTCACCAAATTGTCCATGAAACTTGGTCTGATATTCATAATTTGTATAGTATGCGTTGGTGATTCTCTTACCTTTTGTAAACTTAATAGTGCCACTAAGTCTCATGGTTCATGAAAGCCGATAGACTTTCCAGGAAAGTGCAGCAGGGAATTATTTATATTTCAAAACTGTGCACAGCATGTCTTCTAACACTGGCTTTCAATAATAGAGGTAAATCACTCTACTCACCATTGTTCTCAAAATCCAACCGAGTGTATAGTCTTCTTTACCTTTTTTATCTGTGGCCTTGAAGCTAAAACACCCTCTTTACTCTCTATTCCTCCTAGTTTGTATCACTTAGCTGGCAGTTATGCAGCAACATCTCCCTTGGTGAATCGAGATGGTTTTAAAGTTTAAAATTCTAATTAAATTGATGAGGACACTTACTTTAATTTTGTAAACTGTAATCAAGCAATAGCCAATGCAGTTTGGTGTGTTGTTTTACAGATTACATTTCTGTTGTTGAGATGCACAACCTGAAAAAAAATAAAACAAGAGTGAACATTTTAAACTAGCTCCATCTGCTGGACATTACCAAGCACAGGTTTCCTTAAATCTTTTTTTTTTTTTTTTTTTAAAGATCTATCTTACACAATATTTTGTCCAGAACAATAGTAAGGACATTATTACACCAATCCAGTTAATGTATAAACCCTCACATAGATGCAAGTGAGAATATCCAGGATCACTGCATGTCATTGAATAAGTTAAACAAATATGTTTGCCACTTAAGTAAAGGCAAGTCCTGCATCACTATCTAATGTTGTGGTCCTGTGTCCAAATCTCGATTTAAGATGTTTACTTTTTAACTGTGCCTATTCCTTAAAGAAATATAAAAACCTTGGGGCATCTAGTGTTTGCTGAGGGGTCAATAGGGCATGTAATATGTATATTGCTCTTAAATAGTGCAATAAGTGTATTCTTTATTGATATTTCTTATTATAAAAAGGTAAAACGTGTGCTAAATTGCAAAACGTAGTATTTGAAATTGAATAGTTGTGAAATCAATTGTTTTTGTATTAAAGTCTGAAATTGCACAACAGTTTTTTTCATGAAATATACACAAATGTTAATTGAGGGGTGAAATAATGCATTAAAACCTGCCTGTAACGCGTAATGTGTGCTAGCGATTTATGTATTTACATTTAATTATTCATCGATATATTTATTAAATGAAACCCCACGTGTCAGCATGCACCTCCCTGCTCCTGGATAGTGACAAGAACTGAGTAACATCACCTGAAGACGTCAGTGAGATTCATTTTTTGTCACACTGTTCCTACCTAAGTCAATCAATGTGGGATCCTGTGGAGAGTATAAAGAAGATGCAGTATGCTAACCACCTGGTCACCTAATATGCGTNGCCAGGTATGAGGCTTGCTGTGTATTTTTGTGTGTGTGTGTGTGTGTGTGTGTGTGTGTGTGTGTGTGTGTGTGTGTGTGTGTGTGTGTGTGTGTGTGTGATTTAGCCATGTATATTAATATTGACTTCTATGCAAAGCTAATGAGGTGCTGGAGGGTTTAGAAAGTGTTAATACGTCTTCCAGTGTTTACATTAACACTGTGGTAAATCTATACTTACTTATGTCTGTGTAGTGAGCTCTCCCTGTAGATCTATGCAGATAAGTAACAAACATTGGGCTCATTGTGTCTTTGATAAGTTATTCTCACATCAACATTTATTGTTGGGTAGAAACTTATTCTGGAAGCAGGATCTTGTTTAAGATACATTTGAGCGATAAACTTTGGACAGACAGATAAACTGAGGTAATAAGTGTCAGCAATAACCACTGCTTTGCTAACTTGCCTTGGTTTTGCGAACTGAAAAATACTTGTATGGCTGATTGTGATGTTATTTCTCCCAGTTTATTCAAGCCTTCGTCAATGAGACATTCCTGGAGCGCTGGGACATGCAGCTGGAGGACTACCAGGTGACTCTGGTCTGGACAATCATTGTCTCCATCTTCTCGTTGGGGGGCTTTGCAGGGGCCCTCATCGCAGGACCTTTGACCATACGCTTCGGGAGGTAAAATAAGATGGCGCATTAAGCTGCTGTATTTTATTGTCTGGCTGTATCAATGAATAAAAAGATCATTGACTTACTTTCCTCTATCACCTGTGTGCATACATATGAACTTTATTTAAAAAAAGGCTAAATCATTTCCTACATTAGATGCACTCTGTAGTTTTTAGCAAATACTTTTCAAACAGGAGTAGGGCACTATTTTGGAATGCGGATGAAGACACATTTGATGCTCTCATGAGATCTTATAGCAGAAGGATTGAATCTATACATAAACTACATGGCTCATGGTCATTGTAATGAATAAACAAAACAGGCAACACAGTGTCAATTAAGTTTTTCTACAATAAAGAAACTCTAAGGCACATGGGAATCATCTGTACAAGGCGTTCACTGCACAGAAAATATGAAAAGGACATGGTCATTGATGGTTTTAGAATTATTTTAATGATTTCCATAATACAACTCTACTTATCCCTGTGACCAAACAGAAAGTTCACGAGTGTGTGTTTCTAAGACTGAAATTGGTTGACCACCAACAGTGGTGGTCTATTAATTTTGTCCTTGTTTCCCTTCCCAAGGAAGAAATGTCTGTTGCTGAACAACATTTTCCTCATGACTGGAGCACTCCTAGCTGTGACAAGCAGAGCTGCCAAGTCTTTTGAGATGATCATTATCGCACGTGTCTTGGTAGGAATAAATGCTGGTATGTCATTTGTGTGTGTCCGTGCCAGTCAATGTGTATATGTTTTCATTAAATTAACTCTAAATAACTTTAGATTAACTAAAAAAGCCCCCGTGTGTTTTGCAGGGGTCAGCATGAATGTGCAACCCATGTATTTTGGAGAAAGTGCACCAAAGCACTTAAGAGGGGCTGTCTCTTTGTCATCAGCTGTTTTCACAGCATTTGGTGTCGTATTAGGACAGGTGGTTGGAATCAGGTATGTACAGAGTCCAATTTCTTCTCAAAACAGGCTCTTCCTTTATTCAAAAATGTCAAAGATATCCACAGTAACACTTGGGATTATTTATTTACAGAGAGATTCTGGGCAGCGAGCCATGCTGGCAGTATCTTCTTGCCAGTAATGCCATTCCTGGCGTCATCCAGCTCCTTACCCTGCCCTGGTTCCCTGAGAGTCCCAGATACCTACTAATCGACAGGGGGGACAAAGAGGCTTGTATTAACGGTGGGTGCGGTGCTATGTCATTTGGGATAGCTTTCTAAGAAAAGGCTCCCTGAACAACATAGTTGAATAGTATTTGTGAAACCCAAGAGACAGTAGCTTAGCACATCCCAAACTGAAACCACACTAGTACCTTCAGTTAAAGGTCCCCTATCATGCAAAATGCACTTTTTGATGTCTTTTACACATAAATGTCCTTGGTGTGTCAGGAGACTCACAAAGTGTCCGAAAATACAACCCTCTCTCTTTTCCTCCTTACCCGCATCTCTAAAAATGGGGGTGCAACGGAGCTGATCCAGATTCCCTGCCAATATGACGCAATATCGGAAATGTGAGCTGGCTTTACGCCCACGGCCCTATCAGAAACGTTGCTGTATCAGAAACAATGCGCAACGTGTTTTGGAAGTTATATGGTCTGTGTTTACATTAGCAAGCATCGCTAACACTCAGAGCTAACGCTGTACTGGAGAGAGTATGTGTAAAGAAACTGGATATAAAAAGGTACTCACCTTGTGGTAAACCTGCGAGAGAAAAAGCATTTGAGCTTCATACTGTTTCAGAAATCATCCTTGCTGTAGAATTCTCCTGCATGAGCTCTACTCTCTTATTTTTTCTTTTTTAAATCTACTGACCCAGAATCAGCACTTTAGTAACAGGGCTGAGTGTGCCTTGGCAGTCTCAGGGCTGGAATGGGTTATCTGTTTGGTATTTTGAGCAAAACACTTCATAGACATGTTTTTTAAATATTTGTATATATCTGAGACCTATATAGGCCTAAAGATAGTATAATAGGAGACCTTTTACTGATGTTCCGCCACTGCTGTGAACCCAACACAATAAACAATATGAAATATCTTTATAAGAGACACACAGGATAATATTTCAGAACCATAGAATAAAGCCAGAGCCAGAGAATACCAGAAGAAAACCTTTTCAGGTCGTTTAATTTTTTTTTTTTTTTCTTGGTTAGCTTTGAGACGGCTGCGAGGCTGCGAGGTCCAGAGCAGCGAGCTCGACGAGATCCTGCAGGAACAAGCTGCGACCAAAGGCATGAAGCCCCGTGGACCATGGGAGCTGCTTACTGATCGCTCAGTGCGCTGGCAGCTCATCACTGTCATGGTCATCAGCAGTGCCATGCAGCTCTGTGGGAACGACTCGGTAAGAAGGACAAAAGTTGTGTGTTTCTGAACGCGAGGGTGGGTGTGTGCAGAAAATATTACAACACAAAAGGATCTGTGTAATCGGTACCGAGCTGCAGTTAGGTATCAGATGTTCTCTGTTGAAGGTTGACTAGAAATGTGAGATGACTTGTGTGTGTCTCTCTTTGTGTTCCCGCAGGTTGTATTAATAATGTATGTTGATGATGAAGCTTTAATGTGCACTGAATAATGTGGGAAAACCAATTATTGTTTTGACTATAAGGCTTTGTCTTGTCTGTCA